TATCCGCAAGGCAGGTGTGTATATTTGGGGCTGATGATTATGAAATCTAACACAAAACTGTGAGATCGTGGGTTCTATTCCAGCTGATGACAGTTTTTAATTATTATTTCTTAATACTGAAAAATGTTTTTCTTGTTTTTTTTAAGTATGCATGTTAAAAACTAATAATTTAACAATTATTTAAAAAAAAACTAGAAGGATCCGCTCTCTTTTCAATTTCTTCTCTAACCCTCGTGGTTGCTTCTGCAAATTAAGAGGAAAAACAGTTTATTTCTATTTTTTTCCCTACAAAAATTACGATTGAATTACCATTTTCATTTTGAAGATGACTAAATTTAGGCAAATCAATAAAATTGGTACCAATCAATAAAATTGTAAAATTGCCCTGTCGCAGAGTTATTGATGATATAAAGATGTTATATAAAGATGAACTCAAGGGATAGAGCATTATCCTCCGAATGAGGCTCACCGAGTTCGATGTGAGGCTGGTTGATATGAGTTCCACACTCGGCTTTTACCGACCACAGTGCTGACGTGAAATATCCTCAGTGGTAGGCGCATCATGGGTTAGAGTCCCTTTGCCGTCAGGTCAACCGTGGTAGGTACTTGTGTTCTTCCTCTCTATGTAACGCAAATACGGGTTAGTACCATCAAAACGTCCTCCTTGAAGGCAAAAATTTCTTCCAATACTTGATCTTGGAGTTCTCTTGTATGCTGGATTGGGTTCAAAATTACAAGGCTACGGAGTTGAACATAAGTAGTCATAAACCCAAAAATTTGGGCGGGCAGTTTAACAACGGTTATAAAATAAACTAATAATTTGGCCACGATAGCTTGGTGAGAATGGGAGTTCGAATTCAGCCACCCGAATAATATCCACGTATAAAATGGTGACTGGTGCATGTTAAATCTGTCGGGGTTATAAACTCCTAGAAGTTCTCATAGCAATTCAATACCTCTGAGTACTGATCCAGGAGTTTCCTTGTCTTCTGGATAGGTTTAAAAATTTCAAGGCTAAGTAGTTAAACATTGGCTCAAAATTGAGTCAGTTTTTCAACGGCGATTATAAAAAAAATTAATAATCAAATTGTATTTTCTTGTATTCTTTCTAACTCCTTGCATATTTTCTACAGACCTTCATAATATGATGTCTTACAGATTTTGAGCTACAAAGCAAAATGCAACAAACAAAAAAAATTTGGAAAAAAAAAGTTTGCAAAAAATTACTTAAAATTGCAAATAACACATATTTTCAAAATTTATATTTAAAAGAATTTAAGTATTATTTGGCCCAGGAGAATAAGTTAGAACAATTGGGCATGAATGACATGTATAAAATAGTGAGAAACAATAATCTCGAAGATACAATTGCAAACATTGACATTTTTTTGTCTCTCATGATAATTAATTGTAGTAGCGAACGTTCATTCTCCAGACTAAAATTAATAAAAAATTACTCCAGAAAGATTGAGTCATTTGTTAATTATGAGCATTGAATATGATGTCTTACAGGAAATTGATTTTGATGATGTGATAGAAGATTTGCCTCTCAAAAAGCGCGAAAAGTATTGTTAACTTAAATTTTCGATAAAAATAATGTATATAAGCTTTTATAACTAATTTATGTGTTTTATTCTTAAAATAAAATAATTTTTAAAAATTATTCGAAATAAATTTTTTTTTCTCTAAATTTACTCATAAAGGGCCCCTATAAACATAAACAAATCAAAGACAAAGACTAGAACAAATCAAATAGCAAGGCAGTGACATGTAATGTATTTATTGAAAAATGGATATTATTTCAATCGCAAAATACAAAAGTACAAAAAAAAAAAAAAAAAAAAAAAAAAAAAAAAAAAAAAAAANAAAAAAAAAAAAAAAAAAAAAAAAGAAAAGAAAAGAAAAAGACACGAAAAGCCGAACATATTAAGGTTTTAAGTAACATTTGAGTAAATTAGCTTTAGAGTTTAAACAATGCCAGTAATAAACAAAGATTGAGCAGCCTTTCAATTTTTTATCCCCAAGCTTCCAATCAGCGAAATTTAAAAAACTCAAACATCAATAAAAATTATTTATTTTATGCTGTTGGCTTCTTAATTTTTTTACCAAAAAGCGGGTTATCAAAGGTTAGTCAATGACTGTTTTTGGAGCCTTCTATTTCAAAATCACTCAGATTTCAATTTAAAACCTTCTGCTAATATCACCGAAACATAAAGTGGTAATCAACAAAATAAATCCTGTACAAAACTAAAACAAGATCTTTTCCCAAAGAATCTTTTTTTTTTCTTTCTTTCAAAAATGAAGCTTAAAATTTTTTTTCTACTTATCTTAAGTAACTAACCCATAACTAAAACAATGAAAGACTTTACTACAAAATAACGGAAATAATAATAATAAAAAAAAGTAAATAAAAAAACGTAAAATAAAGGGTCAGTTTTGTTTTTCTTCATTAAATATTTATTTTGTGAAAACTAAAAATATAAAGATGTATTTTAAGAAAGAGAAATTATTAATGAATTAACTGTTTCGTTAATTATTTCAAATATCAAAAACAAAGATTCAGTTACGAATGGCTAACCAGCATTTAACGCAACTAGCATCACAATAACATTTGCTTGTTATAATGACATAGTGTTAAGCATACATAATATTTTATAATTTTCATGGTTTTCAAAAGCATACTATATTACATAAACAATAGTAATCAAGAAAACTTTTAAGAGTTTAGAAACCTTGAACAACAGATAAAAAATGTTAAAAATGAACATACTTTGTTCTTCTTCTCTACATTTTATTATTTCTAATCTTTTTACAACACTAGCTGGATCTATTTGCTCCACAGCTTTGCTTATAAAATTGTCCAAAAATAGACAAGGTATTTCAGTCTTAATACTTGCTCGACACATTGGACACTCTCCTTTCTGTTCTTTCCATTCAGAAATACAAAATTTACAGAATGTGTGAGAGCATCCCAAGGTTATTGGCTAAGGAAGAAAGGCAAAAATAACATCAATTAATGGACACTTTTTTTTTACACATGCTTTTTCGATAAATGCTTGTAAAAGTTTCTAACGAATTATTTAAGCATAACCGCTCATTAGTACCCTCAGTCCTGTATCAGTTTTGTAACAGCAGAAAGAATTTATTTTTGTGACTACTTAATTCATATTAAAATCTTTTCTTTAACATAATAAGCATTTAAACGATAATCAAGTGTATGAGATTTTGGAATTAACAAGTTAAGATTTTCTGATGATATATAAACCAAAATAATTCTAAGGCTTATATAATTAATTTTGATTACGAGTAGTTCAACTGGGATAACTCAAATTATCTGACTGTGTGAAAATGGGAAATTTTGCAGAAAAGTTCAATTTTTTTTATTAATTATATTTTATTTAATTTTTTAACTGTTGAACAGCAGACTCGATTTTGACTTTACGACTACCAATGTTCAACTCTGCAGCCTTGTAATTTTGAACTCAATCCAGCTTTTGTGGGGAACCATTCTGATGGAACTAAAAATCATTTGGGCTACATGATTAAAATCATCACTGAAACCCCTCACGGCTAGACTGACTGCAAGGAGACTAACCAATGATCCTTCTACCACTGAGGATATTTAATATCAACACTGTGGTGGGCGTGAACTGGGTGCAAAATTTGAATCAACTAGCCATTGCTAAAAATAGAGCCCGGTTTACCTCCTAAACCACCTATTAACGAAATTTGACTTTAGTAGCTTTCAAAAACCATTTTAATTTTTAATCTCCGATTTTAAGAAATGAAGTTAGTTATTTTTTCGTATGCTGACAGAACTGGAAATAAACTGCTGAAAATGAAAAAAAAAGTTTTTTTTTGTTATGCTCTGCGAATTTTTTAATAAATGTTTTTAAGACAAACAAAATTCATTTTTACAAACTAATTTTGAAATATTAAGTTGAATCAGAATGAATATTTTGAAATCAGAATTTTCTTGCATTTTTAATGTCTTTTCTGAAAAACATTCATTTCTCGCTAACACACATAAAAAAAGTTTGCCACAGAATTCTTTGAAATTATATTTGTAGATTTTGTATAATGTTTTGAATTCTAAATGAGAATTTATTATTTTTATCAAGCTTTTAGTAATAATATTTACATTTTTTCCTTAAAAATTAAACATTAACCCATATATATTGTTATATTTTATTGTCTTTTTGAAATTTTAACTTAAAACACTGTTAATTACATTATTGATTTAGAAAAAAATTTCAAAATTCATGCATTACATTTTGTTGTAGAGCTGTTAGAGTGACATGACAAATGCTTTTTTTTGAAACTCAAATTTGCCTTTAATTTTAAAAATATTTATAAGTTTTTAAACTTAACATTTGATTAAAACAGGGTTGGGTTTTTGCCGTCAAAAACTGGTTTTTGACATGACAGTGGTAAAAAACGTGTTTTTACCGGTAAAAACTGTCAAAAACCCACTGTTTTCTTTAATTTATAGCATATAGCGGACAATATATTATTTTCACATAATTGCCTTTATAAATGAATGTTGTAAATAATTGCGATTGATTTTGTAACTATATACATGTATTCTTATAGAAGGATATACATTCATACAGAAATATTGAAACTCTAAAAGGATTTCCCAGGCTTTTTCATGTCTCATTTCTGTGTAAAATATTGAAAGCAAAATTGATAAGAAAAGTTTATTTTATGAGGATTTCTTTTTATGTGTACATGTGTTTCTCATAGCAAGATTTTAAGAATGAAAGTAATCAATCTTGACATTCTTCAGTAATGTAATATGCCAAACAAAATGATGCTTGAAAATGTTGAAATTTTTTTTTAGTATCCTAATATTTTACTTCAAATAGTATGTTTTAATATATTCATGTTGGGAAAATGCAAGAATCTGTTCTTAAATATTTTTAACAACTTTTTTTTCTAATTTTATTGCTCAAAAATGATTTAGTTTTAAATTATAAGCAGTTAAACTCAAATAAAAATACAGTTTTACCAAAACTATGGGTTTTTGATGTTTTTGACAAAGGGGTTTTTGACATGACGGTAAAAACCATGGTAAAAATCGTCATGTGTCAAAAACTTGCCAACCCTGGATTAGAATTCAAGTTTTTTTTTTAAATTAAAAAAAACTTCAACTTATCCGTAATTAGGCATTCAGTTTTTCTTTAAATAGCAAAGAATGAACCCTCATATTATCTATTTCAACTTTTATTTAAAAAAATAAACAAGAGTTAAAAAATAAGCAAGTGAGAAAAGTGTTTTAAAATACCTTTATCAAAATCTCTGTGCAAATATTACAGATTAATTCATCTTCTATGAGTTTTTTAAAATCATCTTTAGCATTTTTTTCTTGTTTGGCTTTTAACTTCTCTAACTGAAACAAAATGAGTATTATGCATTGACTTTTTTTTCTAAGTAGAAAATAGTACATTTCTATTTTAAAAGAAATAAATTTCGCAGTAGATAAAAGATGAAGAAACCAGAATTTCATTTCAGTTAAATACAGGAATGAGATTGGCCAAAATGCAAAAAAGCTGTATTTCCACGCGAGTAAATTTTACGAGTTTGCAATTGTTTAATAATAAATTCCAGACAATTTAAGATAATAAATAACTATTTGTTGACATAAAATTTGTAATAATTTATTAATATATGAATGATTACATTGATACTTAACATTTAGTAAAATGTAAAATTATCAACTGAAAAGTAAAGCTAGAAATTATATTTTTCCTCAGTTCACATAAAGGATACATAATGTAATAGGCTATAAATATAAATTATTTCTTTAAGGAAAAGAGTGTGGGCGTAAATTCTATAAAATTTGTATAGTAGAGATGAGAGAGTACTACACTTTTGTAACACTGGGCCTTCTGGAACCTATAAGTTTATAGTGAAGTAATTCATTGCTGATAACTATAAGTTACACAGTTAAAAATATTGGATAAAAAGAAAGATATAAATTCCGTTTATGCAAAAAAAAAAAAACATTGTTTCTCAATACAGTCAGCGCTCGATTAAGCAGCCTCTATGTTTCAAACAAAAAGTAACGTTATATCGAAAATGCACAAAACTATCGTAAATATTTACTCCTAATTCATCAATACTGCACTTATTTTGACAAAACTATTATTCCTCTATCCATTTTATGAAGAAAAAAATATCATTTCTGTCCTAAACATATGGCACTAGCTATGAGCAATAAATTTTGCTAAATAAGAAACATCTAAGAGCTGCAAGTTTAAAGAAAAATATATAGAAGAATGTGAATACCATGTGTTGTATTCCTGAAATAAACCACCTATAAACTTTCACCAAAATAATGAAAACAGTTTTCAAAAAGGAAAAACAGGGTTGATGAATTTACTGAACACTTTATAAAAGAATTTACAAAGGTTATGAATGCATACATGAGACTAATTTCCACAGAGTATAATAATTTCAACACACACAATGAAAAATAATCAATAATTCGCCATCTTTTTTACCAATAATATGGAAAACCATATTATTGGTAAATATAGGTGTTTCTATCACTCCTTACTAAGAGAGAATTTAAGATGTTTCACATCAATTGAACAGGAACATCAGAGAAATATTGCTTTGAATCATTGAGACAAGAAAAAATAATAAATCCATTGATTAGTCAAATAAAAACTGTTTTTTAAGTATTAAAATGTTTAAAACCTGTTTTTAGCATTAATATCATCGGCATTAAAATAACACTGAGTCTAGAATAGCAAACGAGACTTCTATGAATTGGTCGTTATAACTAAAGGGTGGCAGTAATGAAAGGTCCTACTCAAAATGGCACGGTATAGATAAAATATGGTATGGATTTTTATAAAAAATTTATCTGATGTACCTGGGAAAGTCAGGGAATATTTTTCGTGGAATTGAGTGGGAATCCTGTTAAAAACAATCGAATATTAAATAATTTATTTAGTTAGTTAGCATTTGCAAAGTAAATTCTAAACAGAAAATAAAAGTTAGACTCTAATTTATTGAAAAGAAAAACATTTTACATCAAGCAACAAGTTATCTATCTACAAATTAAGTTTTCTAATTATTTATATAATAGGAATAAAACTGTGAAACAATATAAATGTATATTTCAAGAAAACAACTATTTTTTCTCGAAACTGAATAAATAGTTTCAATTTAATTTCAAACTAGAGATCCTAATTAGATAGTTTGAAATTTAATAATCAATGTAATTTGAGGGCATAGAAAATTTTCTTGGATTTCTATAAATTTCAGGAATTAAGTAAAATGTGATGAAGATGAAGGGAAAAAAAATTGCTAACTATGCTAGTGCAACTACCATAATTTTTCTAAGTATTATTTGAAAAATTTATGTGATATACAGGAATTCAGAATTAAATTTCTGCTTCAAAATTAAAAACGTAGACAGTTCATTCAAATTTCAACTGCTCAAAAATCTAACTCATTTTTTTTCTTCATTTCCTTAGAATTTCAAAGAATCTTTCAAATTTCTCATAAATATAACAGTTTCAATGTTAATATATTATTTCGCATTGTTTTAATTTTGATAAGTCGATTTCTTCAATAATTCAAAGAAAGTTGCGATCCCCCTACAACAAAACTAATCGATAAATGAATGTGTTTAAAAAAAAAAAAAATTCAAAATTTCAAGATTTTTGGGAAAAAAAATATCTAATTTTCTCTCAATTGTTATATTGTTATAACAACGACTTAGAAAAAACAGTACAATAGAGACAATCTGAAGATAAGAATACAAAAAGAAATTAACTTTTTTATTTTCACTAATGCTGCAATACATTGAGTGAATTCATTTTTATCTCATACTTTTACAAACCCAAAAGGTCGTAACACTTGCAACACCATAGTATTCATAGGATTGGAATGCGAACAATGTTGAAAGTTGAATGTTAGTTTTTAGATGGATAGAGTTTGAGATATTCAAAGATTGCAATTATAAACATTTGAACATATACAGGGAACAAAAAAAGGAATATCACCCTGAATACCTTTCGTTCTAATGAACGGATTTTACGTACAAAGTGTCAATCTTAATGGTTACAGGGGGTGATCACAAATTATTGGTTAATTAATGCTAAATAGTAATTAAGTTAAAGTACTAGACACAAAAACATTCCTTTCTGAATAAGATATATATATTTGCATGTTGGGATTTAAGACCCTTGAAATCGTGGCCTTTTATTGCTTGATAATAAAGTGGATTAAAGTTAAGTCCACTTAATGATAATTCCACTTTTTGCATTTTTGGTCCTTTTTAGTTGTGCAATTTCAAAGAAATTTGTACCTACTGATGAAACTTGTTTACCCAAATATAATTCCACGCAAAAAGTAATTTTTAATATTCTTTTTTTTTAGTTAGTTAAATAATGGACAGAAAACTTTTGAATTATGAGGCATAAATTTTTTTAACCTAATGATCTTTTTTTTTTTCTGTAGAGAAATTTAAAGTTTCAATATTTTTTAATGAGGAGAAGCCAAGAATTATTAAAATGAAAGATATCTGTAAAAATTAAATTGTGGACAATTTTAAGAAAACATTTAAATGAAACGATTATTAAGTAAATGCAGTAAACTTACAAGGAACTTACACAAAAGTAGCATAACAGAAGTTCATGTATGATTTTTCATAGTCAATTACAAATCTTTTTTTAAATAACAAAGTATAAAGGTTTTTCTAAGTCAGATACTAATTTATTCTTCATTTAGTAAAGAGTTTTAAATAAAATATTTTACTTAACGAATGTTAAGTTTCAAAAAATCATGTTTCTGATAGAATGTGGTTATGCACAGAGTTTTTGACCCACCTACAAACCCCCCAAAAAAACCAGGTAGGCTTAAAAAATGGGTTTTTATTAACGTAATCAAAATCTGCCCTTAGATCAATTGTTAGTTTTTAATTGATTTAAATATTAATACATAGTACACAAATATACATAAACTTATACTTTCAAAACTTAGTGAATTTAGATATAACTGTATGTAACTTTGAATTGGTATAATAATTTTTCTTGATTCAACATTAAGCAAAATCACTTTTTCTAAACAATTATTCGAGCTATCTTAATGTAATTTGCTTTGAATTAAACAGGTGCAGAGCACAGGCTAGAACTTAATCTTTCTCTTATCTCCTTAATAAATAAGTTTTCAAATATGAATAAAATAAGCATATATAAGTATTGTACCAAAATATTAGAAATAGAATTTTTTAATTCCTTTAAAAAAATATTTTTGCTTTATAAAATATAAAAATTGATGGATTGAAATATTTTATTAATAGTATATTTCAATACTACAAAATAATCATTTAAATAAAAAAAAATTCGTTAAATTTATAACCATGATAAAACGCTGAATAATATAAAATTAATATTAACTTATTTTGCATTATTTCTTTTATTAATACTAGCATTTAAAGATGGTACTACGTAAAAATTAAAGCTATTATTTATTATTTTAATTCATTATAAAATTACTTTCTATGAAAGTTTTCTTTTTTAACTAAAATTGTTCCTAACTATTGAATTAAAATTTAAACTTTTTAAACGCTGGTTATGTATTTTTTTATAAATTTTTTTAGATGATTTATTCAAAAATTGATTAAATTTCAATAATATGCATTTATTTGGAATAATAGCTATCAATTATTCAATATATATTTTAATAATCAAGCAATAAAAACTTAAATGAAAATGCTGGTTTTGTAAAAGATATCTTCATATTTTCTTGAATCTAAATTTTGTAACATCAACAATGATTATCAGAAATCATGTTTTGAGGATAGTCACTACAAAAGAATAGAGTTGCCCAACATAAAGAGCTACCTAATATATAGTCAAAATTTTAAAATATCTCAATGTCTAATATATCGTCCTAATCGTTTTAGTTTTAAAATAAAGTTTATAATTACTTGGCCACGTATTTGTCACAGAACCATTTAACCAATTACACTGGTGTGCAAAACTTAAGCAACAAGTGCGTTTTTTGTCATAACTCTACAAGAAATCAGCCGATTAACATGAAATTTGAATATGATGTACATTATTTTGTACTTAAACGATGGTAAAAGAATAATGGAGCAGGAATGAATATAAAACTTAAAGTAGGGTATGGAACAAAAAAAGGCTTTATTTGACACATAGTGGCGTTACACATGATTGCCTGAAGAAGCGTAAGTTGTACTTACGCTTCTTCAGACAATCCCATATTAGGGAACTGGCAGATGTTCCCTAATATGGGATATGCCCTCTCCTTACTGTAATTGTTGCTTGGCATCGTCTCTCCATGCTAAGCACCAGATTATTCAGGAGTTCTTGGGGTAAACGTCTCCATTCCTCCTTTAACGTAGCTTTCAGCTGATGGGTGTTACCAGGAGGATACTGTCGTGTCGCAAGACGTCTCCCTAATGCATCCCACACATGCTCTATGGGATTTAGATCTGGAGAGTAAGCTGGCCAATCCATTCGTGTGATATCTTCGTTTTCCAGTAGCTCTTGAACATTAGCAGTTCGGTGTGGCCGGGCATTGTCATCCATAAAAATGAAGTCTGGTCCAATGGCACTATTCCCATGGGGTAGGCCATGGGGTAGGATTACCTCATTGCAGTAGCGGTCTCCAGTTACAGAACCTCGGTCGAAGATCTGAAGCTCAGTCCACCCGTTCAACATAATGCCACCCCAGACGACAACTCCAGGACCACCGTAACGATCTCTTTCCGCGATGTTATTGGGATGAAATCGAGCTCCAACCTCTCTCCAGATCAACTGACGTTGAGAATCGCTTGTAGCACTAAAACGACTCTCATCTGTGAAGAGGACGCGACTCCATTGATGAGGTGTCCAGGTTTCGTGTTCTCTGCACCACTCTAAACGGTGCCGCCGATGGCTAACTTTTAAAGGTATGCAGCGTTCAGGACGTCTAGCAAATAAGCCACCTTTGTGGAGGCGTCTGGCCACTGTAAATCTTGATACTTGTCGTCCTGTGGCTGTGCACAGTTGCTGAGATATGGCGCTCGCTGACTGAAAACGGTTTCTTTTCGCCTGGAGGACAATGTAACGGTCATCTCTTGGTGTTGTTTTCCTTGGACGGCCACCACCAACCTTCCGAACAGCTGTACCAGTAGTTTTAAAGGCATTCCAAGCACGAGAAACAACACTTTTGTTGATCCCGAACTCTTCGGCGACACTGGTCACACTACGCCCCTCCTCAAGCTTCCCAATCATTCTTCCTCGAGTAAAGTCGTCTAAATGATTTCTTGAAGACATGTTTCACAAAACAAATCACTTGCACTTGCAGCGAATGTCTTTAACTACGGTGCTCTTCATCCTTTTATCACAGCTTTGACCTGCGCGCGCCGACCCACAAGGTTTACGTACACTTACATCACCTACGACGTTTTATTTCTAAAATTTGCATACAAATAATCTTTCTACTGAATTACGTGTGCATTATACTGCAATTTCATGGCTATCTTATACTTTGTTGGGGAGCTGTGGTCGAAAAACCACTTGTTGCTTGAGTTTTGCACACCAGTGTATTTCATTAAATCTTTACATTTTTTCGAAGTATCATTCTTTATGCTCCCTTTTAATTTTATAAGAATCTTTTTTGTCCTATTTTTATTAGAGCTTTAATTTAGGTTTTATGTTCAAAGATTATTAAACATTCGTAATTAAATACTTATTGAACATTCAGTCTAAATAATTGTAAAATTTTTTTCTTGTTTCTTTAAAAAAAGTCTTAAAACTTTAACCAATTAGCTGAACTAAACCTTATTAAGAAATTAGAAATATTTTGCTATTTTAAAATTATCCGGTGTAAAACGTTTGGCTGATTGTAATAATTTTTTCAAATTTTTGTAAAAATTGTAATAAATTTGTAATAATTTTTTTTGGCTCATTGTAACTATTTTTTTTCTTACTCAAAGAATGTATTTATAGTTTCAGATTTGTTTGAATTGTAAAAAGTAGATAGTGCAACTCAAAAAACTACAATTGGCTTTGTTTTTAAAATGAATAAAAACTGCAATTTTATTTTAAATTGCAGTTATTATTTGCAATTTTATTCGATAAACCTTATTTTCCTGAGCAACAAATATTAAAAGTAAAAAATTGTAAAAAGATTCCCAAAGCCATGATATATTTAGAATCGAAAAAAATAAGATTTTTTTTCCTAACATAAGGTTTATGTTTTTAAGGTCTGAATCAGGGCCCGACTTAGCCGAATAGGGGCCCCTATTGCTTCACTACTTTAGTAAAGAAGAACCGAACTTTATGGAGGTATTTAAATTTTTCATCTTTTTATGAATAACAAAAGAATTGATTAGAACCTAAAATAGCTATAAAGTCTCCCCCCCTCCAATGTCAGACGAAATGTCGTGCTGTCTATTTTATTAATTTTCTGACAATTCTATGTCCATCATGCCGAATGCAGTTTTCTGATTGTTAACTTAGACATCTAACTGCGGAAAATTCATATCCTTGCCGACATTAGAGCGGAATTCAACCGAAATGTCACAATGACGATTGCTCAATTAAGCTCATCAAAATCCTGTATTTTTGTAAACATATGTAAAAATACAGGTTTTTGATTCGCCAAATGTGTCCGTCGTAATAGCGAAAATGTAGCTGAATTCCGCCCTAGAAAGCCACGGATTTACGAACTAAAAATTTTTGTGGTCATACGATAGCTTAATGAAGAAGCTGACATAAAACCGACGGATTTTACATTGTACTGAAAAAAAATTCATTAAAAAAGGAAATGTAAAATAAATTTTCTATTTGATTTGGGGGGGGGGGTTAATGTGGGGACCCGGGGTAGCTGCCCCCCGTGCCCATGGCTTTGTCAGGCCTTGGACTGAATAAGATATATTAATAAATTTTTGATTGCGAAATATGTTATAGCTGTAACAGGTATGTTCAGTTAATAGTTTTACCATACTTTTTTACTGAATTTATGAATACAAATTTTTCTTATGTTTTGTCATAAGGAGAGAAGAATATTAATGCTCCAATGAATTGGCTTATTAACTTCGCTAATCCCAGAATTGAAATCTGTTTCAACGATACATTTTATTGCCTCAAAGCTAAAACTAGAAATTTTTTTTATCATTGTTCTTTAAACTTATTCTTTTATTTTGTAGATAGAAGCGGCATTAAGGATAAGGAAATTTTTTTTTTAAACTTATATTTGGTAGAATGAAACTATTTTTTTAAACAAGAGACAATACAATTCTTAAATATGCATATTGCAATGTTTTCAAATATTGTTAGTTAACAACCATTAAGTTCTTCTATTACGGAAAAAAGAATTTTTTTAAATTACATAAAGCCTCGTGAATGTACTGTAGGCTCTCTGTATTTTTTGCTAGAACTTTTTTCTCTCTCTTGTAGGAGTTTTGATATGAAATGCAAAGTATAAAATTTTAAAGCGAGATTAAAAAAAAAAAAAAAAACACAAATAAAGTCATATAAAAAGTTCAAGCATTCAAGTTCTAAAATCATAAAAAAAAATGTATTTAGTGATTCAAATTTTATTTTCAAAAGTGATTTTGAAAAATAAATAAAAAATATAAAAACAATTTTCGCTACTTGGCTAGAAATTAGCCCACAAAATATGTCTTATCCTTTTTTTATTTTATGAACTATTAGTAAACGTGAGCCCTTAAACGTGGAAAAATTTCATTCCTTTTATTTAATCCGTTTTGGTTACTTAGCAATAGAGAAACACTAACTTGTCAATCATTCAGTTAGTTTAAGATTATCTTAAATGACTCCACTTTCTACAACAATATTGTTCTTTTTTATTTAGTTAGTTTATGATTATTTTAAATTGCACGACTTTCCATGCAGCATGCACCATGCATCTCTTAATGACTGGACTTGCTGATATAGCTTATTTATTTCATGATTCTGGGTTATATAATTATTTACAATAAGTTACAAAAATATACATGAATTGTAGAATATAATATTCCGGAGCGCTACTGCTCCCTTCTCGTTCATGCTTTCTCTATCATAGTCCAGCTAATACTCAACTCTTCTACGTTCAAACTAAGACTAATCTCAAAATATTCTTTCTCATAAGAAAAAGTCCTTCGCTCCACCCCCAATGTAGGGGAACGACACTTCCCGTGTCCCTTACCCTCTGACCCTCAGGTCAGGGGTCAATCAAATGCGTGGGAGAGGAATCAGGATCCTGACACTGTTTATCAAAATTTCCAAAATACAATACAGCAGCTAGCCAAACAGATAAAAAAATACAGTCGAACCTCGCTAACTCGAACCTCGATTTCGCGAATTTTTCGATATCTCGAAGAAAAAAAATCCCTTCAAATTTCTTATACACTCAATGTTAAAAAAAAACCTGATTTTACGAATTTTTTTTTTCTAATCCCTCGATAACTTGAATTTTTTTCCATAAATAGTGCAGATTTTTTTTTCTAAAATTAAAAAAATATTCAAAAAAAAAAAAAAAAAAAAAAATTTTAAGAATGGCTGACAAGGCATGGAATGATGTGTCTTCTTCTACGATAATGAATGGCTTCAAGAAGTCTGGATTCATTAGAGACTACGAAAGTAGTCAAACAATCAATATCGTTAATTCTGCTGAAAACTATACCGAAAATTATTGGAACAGATTGACCGGACTCATGAAGCTTGATGACATGGAATTTCATGACTTTGTAAACGTAGATGATGCAGTAACAGTGTGTGGTCTGTGGGATGACAATGATATCATCACTCAAACGAAAGCTTCTTGTGAACGATCAGAAAAAGAGGATGAAGAAATCGAAGATTTAATGTCCTCCCAATGTTACTAACAAACAAGCACTTTCTGCAGCAGACATTGTAAGGAGATTTATTGAGAGGCAGCCGAATATGTCAGAGGAGACATTTAAAGCTATAGTCCACTTAGAAAGTGTTATAGACAAACTTTCTTACACATCTCTAAAGCAAACAATAATTGAATCTTTTTTTAAATGAAAGTGTGAAAAGTGTTTTTAGAATAAATATGGAATAGTAAATAAGGTATGTAAAGAGCGTCTTTCTTTATTCTACCATCGATAACAGGCAATTTTCGATATCTCTAATTTTTTCTCTTCTCCCTTCAAGCTCGAGATATCGAGGCTTGACTGTATATATAGAAAAGTTATTAATAAAAAATAATTGTAAACAGTTTCAAGCAAAATAATTACCTTTTGTTGATTCTTTTGGGGAAAAAGAGCTATGTCAGTGCTACCAAAATTAAAAGCAGGTGCTGTAGATGTAGAGGGATCACCGAATCCCACAGATTTGCTAAACAATCGTGCATTTTGAGTTTTTTGTGTTCCTTCTCCTGTAGATCTAAATGTATCTAAAAATCATTTGGATATTAAATACAATGTTATGGCAAAGGAGATGCATATTAAGTCATGAGATAACATAAAATTCTTAAAAAATGAAAATAAATACTATTTGTCATTCCTCCCGTAGAACTAAAACGTGGTTTTGACTGAGCTGTAGTATTTCCAAAAGAGAAAGCTGATGTAGAAGCTTCATCAGGTGCTCCAAAAAGACCACCAGTTGTTTGAGTAGTATTCCCAAAACCTAAACCAGGAGCAGCACCACCGCCTTTCTTAAATTTTGCATACAATTTCCTCCTCGCTTCCTAAGCAGAAAAATATCGTAACTAAAATTAATAGTAGAATGGTGTAGATATAGCAACTAAATATTCTTTGTCATTTTTTTACATTAATGAAATAAAAATACATACAGTACAGCTAACTATTTTTCAACGAAAAATTAAGAAACTATTAAGGATTCAAAAAGTATTTATGAACACTTTAAAAATAAAAACTAATTTTTTCTTTCAATGTTGAAACATTTCAAAGACTTTACACAATCATGATAAAATAACTTGCTTCTTGTAAAGAACTCTATTCTTTATTTATTTTAGAAACCAGAAAACATTTTATGCTTAATTTTAAATACATTCTATTTATGAAGTTGTTAATTCTATTCTCTGAATTAATAATTACATCATTTAATTTTGCAAAAAAATAACTTTAATTTAAAATTAGTACTTACACTTTAAGAAATTTATTGGGTATATTTTTTAGATTCAAATAAAATATATTCAAAATATATTCCCCATAAAAATAATTAATTATGGTTATATATAATTACTTTATTCAGCAAAATAGGAAAATTAACGTAAATTTATATTACAAAAAAAAAAAAAAATTCTCAGTGGTTCTCCATGAAAGCTATTCTACAATTTGTGACCTTAATTCATATTTTTAAATCCTGCCTCCAAAATGTATTGATTTTCTTACATAATATTTATTGTAAAATAAATCTATTTAAATAAGACTAAAATAAAAATTAAATACAATTCAAAACAATTAGTAGACAATTATATAACAAGAGGACTCTCAGGTGCAAACTCATGCAATTATACTATCCTAAGTAACTCTTCTCTTTATTAAATTTAATGAACTTAAGAGAGATATTTAGAAGAATATTGACTGCACTGAACCCACATTATATACATCTAAACCCTGACCTGATTGCAGAAATCCACCAAATAAATCTGAGGGACGTTTCCTCCAGTTCTTGTTAAAATATTTTCTAACCTATATTGTGTTCAAGATATATGCAATAAAATTCCTTTTAATATCATATTTATTTCTTGAAGAGTCTCTGATAAGTGATGTTATGCAAATAAATCGGCAATAAAATATATTTGTTTAAACAAATATTAACTTAACCCTTTATATCTCAACATCTCTGATTTTAATAAAAATTACTCATACATTAGAATACATCATTCTAAGCATGTAAAAAATAATAAAAAAATTTACAACATAAAATAAGAAAAACTATTGGAAAAAAATTGATTGTTGCATTTCTGCACCCTTATGCAAAATGACAAAAAGTGCTTGTTGCATTCCTGCAACATTGTGAAAAATGGCACTAAGATTGAAAGATTCAAAAATTTTAATTCATATGAAAATTTTTAAAACAGTTGTTACTTTTGTTGTAACAAAGTCCTACACCACATTTCTCACAAATAGTTTGTGTAAATTCTTTGCATTTTGGGTATTTGCATCTGATTCTTTTGTTAGTCCAATTAGGCCAGTGCCCAATTTCATCTTGGCGCACTGGTTTTGCCGACAATCGCCGAAATCGTCCTTCAAAATTTGTTGGGGCAAAGACATAGGCTTTTTGTGTATGTTGCAGATATGCAACACGGTGATATAAAGGGTTAAGGAAGAATAAAAAAAGAGAGCCAATACCTCCCAACGTTTATGTATATATTCTTCCCTGCAAGTGACGCATTGATGTCTTGTATCAATACTCGTGGATACCCCAGCTTTCATCATAGCATCATTCCCAGTTGGAGCACTAAACGAGCCAAATAAACAAGTGATGCATTGATATCTTGTACTAATACTCGTGGATACCCCATCTTTCATTATAGCATCATTCCCAGTTGGAGCACTAAATTTAACAGCTGTCCCGGTTTGGTTAGTTGCATTAAATCTACCTAGATTGTAATTAAAGCAAACTATTATAAAATATTAATATCAAAAACATTATCTAAAATTTCAAAGTTTCTTTTTTTTTAACCCACTAAAGCAAAAGGGAGAAATTTAGGCTACTTTTTAAAATTAGAAATAAACCTTACAAAACACTCACAATTGTATAAACTTTAATTTCATCAATGATAATACTGGCACATTTTAATTCTTACACTAAAAGAACTATTTAAGTTTTGATTATAAATGTTATAGTAAATATATTGGCAAATTAAATTAATAAGACATTAATCAAGATAATTAAATTAATACTTTACAAGCTAAATAGAAAACCAGATAAAATTGACCAAATAATTTAAAATATTGCTTTAAGGATTCATTAAAACACACAATTTCCAGATTATAAAAAATATTATATTTGCAAAGTTGACTGACAAAAAATTATGAGTAAGATAGTCAAAAGTAAAATAAATAATTCAGTAAAAATTGATTTTTTTAACATGCAAAAATTTATTACAAAAAGAAAATATTGCAAAATACATATTACTGAGATAGGCAATTGAACAAATAATTATAACATGAATAAGATCCCACAAATTACAAGGAAATATTTTTAAAATTATACAACAAGGATGCAGCAAGTTTTTAAAATTACACCGACAGGTTTCGGATATCCTAGAAAAACTTAAACAGAAAAAAATACAGTTTTCATTTTCTTCCTTGTTTTTATTTCAATTTTTCAATCATTACAATCTAAGTAAAATTAAATCCACATTTGACATCATAATAATTATTGAAGTTTATTAAAATGAAGACCAGAAGCTGAACATTACTTCAAACTATGCCTTTTTTTCTTCATAAAAATTTAACTGTAACAGGATAAAGCTCTTTCACTGTCTACTGAATAAGAGCACACTTGCCTTTCCTGTAAGATCTGGTAATATCTCAGAGACTACCACTGAATTTCATATTCTAAGTAAGAGCAGGAAGCTAATCCGGAATAAGTTGCTAAAGGATTCTTAGAATAAAAAAAGGTGAAATTACATTGGGAAAACAGTTAATATAAGTTTATCTGAGAAATAAAAACCATTTTACAGAAAAATAAAAGACATGCAGACAATCTATTACTTAAATATGAATACGCAGCACTATAATAAATGTTTGCCCCAGATTTTTACAAAATGTTTTAAGCAAACGTTAAGAGCAAAAGAAAAAAAAATGTCATTAAGCAAGAGAAGAAAATGAAATCATGAAAAAGAATCAGGAAAATGCAGATTAAGCAGTAAACAACAGAGTACTTAATAACTAAAAACATGGTGAGAATTTAATATAAAACATGTTCATTTTAATTATTATAATATGGAGAACTACTTATGTTTTTAAAAGAAAGTTTTATGCTTCTTTTTTTGCACCTTTCTCTTCTTTTGTTCACTATGTTTCAACACAAAATAAATTTCATTTTATAAGGAAGTGCCTTATCACATATTGAAACTTACATAATCCCTGTTAACATAAATATTTAATGATTTCTTCTTTTTGTAGTTATGACATCTGTTTCAATCTTCTTCTGAAAAAATATTTGTCAGAAATTTGATCGACTATTCAAAAGCTGTGTTAAAAAAAAACAAAAAACAATGAATTCAATTGCTTGCTACTACACACTGAGATTCCCTAGCTTTTCTAAGGCACCTGTCTCAATAGGTTTTAGAATATTTTCGACTCCGTGTTTGAGCTGCTCGAAGACAGAGATGTAGCTGAAAGACGGATTACTAGAATTTAAGATAGACATTGCATCCATGACCGATTTATTTGCAAAATTTAATGGAGTTAATTTAAAGCTTCAAGGTGACGAGCTTAATTTGATCACTACAAAATTAATTATATCTGCTGTTCTAAAAAAACTCATTTTGTGGAAGCAGAATTTCGGTCGGAATGAGTTCAACCAACTGCCAATCTTCTCGGATCTTAAAAATAATGATGAACTACCCTCTGATACTAATGGATATTGTCACCATCTTGAGTCTTTAGGCTAGGACTTTTCTCACCGTTTTATAGATGTTCTGTCCCTGAAAATCCCTCAAGGGGTTATGATTATGAACCCTTTTATGAATATTGAAACAGCAGAGGTTCTGATTCAGGAGGAGTCGGTCAAACTTTCAACTAATCAAATTTTGAATTAGTGATCGCCTCACAGAGTTTTGGCTTCAAGGTAACATAGGTCTCCCTTACCCTAGACCAGGGATGGGCAAACTTTTTTGGTCGAGGGCAAAAAATCGAGAGAAAAAATGTTTGGTAAGCCAAGTAATAACTTCAAAATTTTAAAAAAAAGAAGAAAAAAAGCTATATACAAGTTTTAATTTAAATATTTAGTGAGATGAATGAAATTGAGATTTCATTTTTTAAAAGTCCCTTATATTGATGTTCGAAGTGAGATGTGCTTATTTTAAGGAACGAGGCTAAATGCTTGTATGTCAGTCTACTTCTGAAATGATCTTTTCTAAGGTTCATAGTTGAAAACTCTTGTTCGCATATATAAGATTAAGCAAACATAACAATGATTTTCTGGGTATGAAATATTAGTTTTTGGCACCTAGCTTTTGGTAATGATTTGTAAAACTCAAACTTTGGCATATTTAGAAACAACTGCTTCGAGTGATTTTTAGATTGTCCGCTCGTTGGAGCTTAAAATGCGCACAGTCTGCCACATGTGAAGTACAATTCACCGATATTAGATTCCGTAAGTCTGCGCTTCGAGAAAGACACAAACGCTAGTTGCAGTCAATCTACGGTTATTCTGTAAAGAACTTCTGCTTTCAACATTTTACCAATTGAAACTGTCTGTGCTAACTATTCCTATCAATTTATGTTTTGTAGAACTAAAATAGAGAAAGTAAAAAGGTCATCAGTACTTCGTTAAAAAAGAAAGAACAGTAATAGCTGTAAACAAAGTCGACATGAAAATGGATGCATATTGCTTTTATTTGCCACGGTTCGGCAAGTTAAAATTCTATCCGTGGGCCGTATAAAACCTTCCGTCGGGCCAAACTTGGCCCTCGGGCCGTAGTTTGCCCATCCCTGCCCTAGACTGTGGAATATTATCGAAATTTTTTAATTGTTTTCCCTTCCTCCTACCTTGTCAAACAAAGATTCAGTGATGTGACGGATCCCTTATGAAAATTTAAGGTATATTTAAGGTTGATTTGAGGTATTTTTGAGGTATTAAGGTTGTTTAGAGGTATATTTGAGGTATATTTAAGGTTGCAGAGAAAACAGCAATAAAAATTATACCTCGTAAAGGTTGTAATTAAGGTGTACGAGGTTGATTTATATATACTTCAGCTTGTTTTGAGGTTGTTTAAAATTCACTTCAAATCAACCAGACTGATAAGGAGATTTTTAAGGTATACCAGGTTTATTTTCTTACACTTGTAACAAAAGAGGTATTTTTGAGGTATAAAAATTTTTACCTTATTTCAACTAACGATAAAAAGGTATTTATTGAGGTATATGAAGTCATTTTATTTATACCTAAGCTTATTTTGAGGTTGTTTTAAATTCACTTCAAATCATCCAGACTGATAAGATGATTTTTAAGGTATACGAGGTTGTTTCTCTTACACTTGTAACAAAAGAGGTATTTATGAGGTATAAAAAAATCAACCTTATTTCAACTAACGAGAGTGAGGTAATTACGAGGTATAAAAAATATACCTTTTTTCTACTAACGATATTGAGGTATTTATGAGGTATAAAAAAATATACCTTATTTCAACTAAAGAGAGTGAGGTATTTATTGAGGTGTTGAAGTCATTTTATTTATACCTAAGCTTGTTTTAAGGTTGCTTAAAGTACACTTCATATTAACTAACTCACTTCCCAGAGTTCCATGCGAGCCGGCAAATGGCGTGTGTGTTGACAATCGAAAGTCTATTCGAAATTCGGTAAGTGTGCTTGACATTTATTAATTTAGTTTTATCACTTTTAATCAAATATGCTTCAATTTTGAAACTTAAATTTTATTATTTTTGTTTTAACGACGCGTCCTGATCTTAAATAATTTAAGTTGGAGGATATTCTTAGAGGCTATCGTTGTAGGCTTAGCAATAAGAGAGAATAACCGAAATATTTCTCGTCACTGTTTTGGGTAACATTACTGGTGAATCGTTACAGCAGGTTATGCACAGTATATTTTATTGTTTGTAGTTCAGTCAAATAGAACTATTCTTTTTATTTTGCTTAAATGTATATGTTTTAACGTAGCAGTATGCACGCTGATTAATTGAGAAAAATGTTCACAATTTCTCTTATAAATAAATCATTGAAAATTGAAAGATTTTTAAAATAGCAATTTTGCTTTGAAATTCTACTATAGCTGTATGCTTATCGTTTGGATATTTGTTGCAAAGTTTATATTATTGTTTATATATATATATATATATTTACAGAGCTTATCCACAGTTCCCTGATATTACTGAGATGGCCTAGGCTGTAAATAGCACATGCGCGGCGGCGCAGAAGAAGAGACAAGCAAGCTACTGCTCAGCCTTCCCCTAGGATATAGTTCTGAATTTATACCTAAAAGAAAAAGTAATCTCTCCTAATAAACTACAGAATTTATGTAATTGTTGATAACAATAGTTTGCTAGATATTTGATAATTGAAAACTAGTAACTGTACTAGCTCACTTCTTCATGTTTGATCACAAAACTGCTATTTTCACTACATGTTATTTTCTCGCATTTTACCCACGTTAATTATTTACTAAGCAGATTGTTATTACTTATTAGAATATTGGGCAGAATGAAATTAAATCCGATTTCAAGTTTATATGACAATTTGTTTCAAGGTTATGAGCTTTTTCATGCAGCTGTTTATGGTTCACTACTTCAAAAATGTGCGAATTTCGGAAATCTTAAATATTTTAGAAATAAGTCAGTATAGTATGCAATTTTAATCCTGAATTGAATAAAATCAATTGCAAATAAAAACATTTATTGTTGAAAGTAATATGCATTATTTTGAGTTTCATCCTATGGGATGTGTATTTATATTTAAACAAGTGTTTGTAACAACTAACTATTAGTTTTATTCTGCTCGGTATTATAAGTTATATAGGAGATATTATACTCAACTTATTTTAAAAGTATTATTTCAAATCATTCTCTCTTAGACATTTTCCTCACATAAAATTACTCACAACTTTAAAATAAATGCTCCTTATCAGCTTGTAATTTGTTCTATTCGATTGAGTGTAAAAAAAGAATAAAAATTGGTACATAACTTTAAAATTTTAATTTATTAAACGATTGTAGATTCTTGATTACATTGATTAAAAATTATTAAAATAACTATTTTTTAAGAAACTCTGATGTGATTGACAATAACATAAGTCCTTTTCAGAATCAGCGTCAAAAATTTAAAAAAAAGCTGCTAGTTTCATGAAGTCTGACAAAAAGTTGAAAAATATAGACTAGGTTTATTGAGTTTAAAGATTTTTAAAAAAGAAAGGGAAGGAAATCTAATTATTAAACTTACAAGTACCATAATGTTACAGATGTATAGAAAAATAAAAAGTGTTAAAATTGCATAATAAGATTGGAATTATACAGGGTGTTTATAAAGTCCCGGACCCATTTTGATGTTTAATAACTCATAAAATAATAAAGATAGATTAAAATTAATAACATTAATGGTTAGATAGACTCAAAAAGTTTCATGACCCTTGTCAATGAACTTCCACGTGTGCCCCCTTCGTCGCACGGAGAATATCAAGTCGATAGTCAATTTCACGAGAGGTAGCTTTCTTTTTTACAGAAAAGACAATCTCATCAGTCGTATACTTAGACATGTTGGAAAACTTCGTATTTCCACAACTAGAAGAGCTTCAGCCACATGTCTTTTTGCAACAAGATGGTGCACCACCTCATTGGGGTATCATCGTTCGTAGTTCTTTGAATGACCATTTTACAGGAAGATGGATTGGGCGAGGAGGTCCAATTCCTTGGCCACCCAGATCACCTGATATAACGCCGCTGGACTTTTTTCTTTGGGGATTTATAAAGGACAATGTTTACAGGAGGATCGTGTCGAACATTGATGGCCTAAAAGCCAGAATTACAACCGCAATAGCCTCTGTGGATGCCGACATGCTTGCCGCTACCTGGCGTGAAATTGACTATCGACTTGATATTCTCCGTGCGACGAAGGGGGCACACGTGGAAGTTCATTGACAAGGTTCATGAAAGTTTTTGAGTCTATCTAACCATTTATGTTATTAATTTTAATCTATCTTTATTATTTTATGAGTTATTAAACATCAAAATGGGTCCGAGACTTTATAAACACCCTGTATATTTGAATTTCTGTAAATGTTGTTAATGGTAATACTGTCTTCAGTGTATTTTATTTTGTGGCTGTGATACATGTCATGCTTTTTAGCTACGAGGATTGAATAGAAATGGCAGAAGATATTTATCTGAAAAGGAAAATTAATTTCATCCAGTTAATTTAAATGATAAAAAAAATACTTTCTAATATTTTAAGACCTGCCACTATTATTGTAAATATGACTTTCTTACTAATTTATATTTTTTTTCCTTTTAGGTTCCAATAATTACAAGTTTCAACATGTAGACGGAAACAGTATTTAAAATAATTTTGTTGGTTTGTAAAAAAAGTGAAATTTTAGTTTTAAATAAAAGTACTTTGAATTTCAGCTGACTAATTATTTAAATTTGTAGTTTTATAGCTTTAAAAATTCAAGCACCTTAGACAACTATCTTCTAAAAATACGAGTATGAGTTCCCATAAATAATTTTTACTAACTGTAGAATTTGGATAAGTGTTATTTTAAGATGATTTAAATCAATCTATTAAAATTATAGAAGAATTATGCATTTGAAACTTTCTTTTATAGCTTAACAAAAGAAGCAATTACTGCCGAAGGTTTAATATTAAAAATTTCAGGTTGATAAATGATCTCTACTAGTGAAAAAAATGTAATGTACATTATTCTTCATATAATATATATAATATCTTTATATATATATTATATTTTTTATATAGTGAGTCTAAAAATTAATAAACTAGGTGGTCCGTATAACACCTCACCTTCGTAAGTGCTAAAAAAAACATCTTTGGTTGATAAATTAATACTTCTAAAAATACAAAAATATATACTTGAGGTTACGAAATAATAACTTAAGGTAGAACATGGAACACATGGCGCTAATTAAAAATAACCTTTCCAATTGTTGAAAATACACTTCAGGTTGATTTATAACAACCAGAAGTGTAAAATGGCCCACCTTAGGTTGAAAAATATATACCTCTACAAGCATAAAATTATATACCTGAGGTTGAAGAATAATTACCTGAGGTAGAACAAAATACATTTGAGGTTGATTTATAACAACCAGAAGTGTAAAACGACACACCACAGGTTGATAAATATATACCTCTACAAGCATAAAATTATATACCTGAGGTTGAAAAACAATTACCTGATGTCGAACAAAATACACCTGAGGTAGATTTATAATAAGCTGAAGTGTAAAATGACACACCATAGGTTGAAAAATATATACCTCTACAAGCATAAAATTAGATACCTGAGGTTGAAAAATAATTACCTGAAGTCAAACAAAATACACCTGAGGTTGATTTATAACAACATGAAGTGTAAAATGACACACCTTAGGTTGTTGAATAAATACTTCCACAAGTGTAAAAAAATATACTTCAAGTTGAAATATATATACCTCTGGAGGTATATTTAAGGTATATTTGAGGTTGATTTTGAGGTATTCATTTGCACCCTTTTCAACCTTTACGACGTATTTAAACAACAACCTCCTTTATACCTTTAAAATATACCTCGTTTATACCTCGATTTTTTCATAAGGGATCTACTCACAAAAAAGAGAAAACGAGGAAACTTGCATCTTCACAGCAGGAAAAAAAGTGAACCGAACTTTAAGAAACTGGCACTCAACCTTCAAGCACTATCATCTCACCGACACAGTTAGTTGATTGTTTCGTTAATACTACTTTTAGAGTAAGAAAGTTATTTTTGGGTGTTTTGAATTATCTAATTAAGAAAAATGACTCTTTTTAACCATAGGTTTCTTTGTTGCAGTTTTTTTCATTACCGTATTATTTTGATTACAACAAATAGACTGCGATTACCCGCCAGGAGAAAAGTACCCAGTTAACGTTCACATAAATTAAAAAAAAAAAAAAAAATTAACGAGTAAGAAAATTGCTTTAAAATGTTGCCTATTATAATTCAACTCATCCTGCCCGTCCTCATGCTCTTAAATGGATTTTCACAAAGGGGGGCGTTGCCATATTTTCCGTTCCTTAGGGGGGTGGCAACATTAAAAAGGTTGAGAATCTATGATTTAAGGTGTTGACAAATGGTTTCTTTTTTAATCTTAAAATGTTGTTAGTTGCCCAAGGTTATAAAGAAAATAATATTTGCGGAAAATTTATTTTCTTACACTTATTTTTAAATGTCTAACTCGAAATTAAATTAAGAAAAAATTTTTGTTCTATTTTTATAAACACTAACAATCTTTTATTATTCGAAATAGTTATGAGATATAGAAGAGGCTAAAAATGAAAGAGATACAAAACAAAAATAATTTTCGAAAATTTTGATCCGTAAACTTTCAATTCTTTCATTGCTAACTAATAATGAAATGAATTTCAATATCAACTTTTTACTTAGTTCTTAACTTTTAATCAAGGCTTCTTCTCAAAAAACTCATGAAAACAAACACTATTCATTATTAATCAATCATTAATAAAATTTTCAATAACTCAAGGTCATTTTGTTCTCGAAAAAAACTTAATTTCTAACGAGGGAAAGGAATTGGTAAAATGGAAAATTTAAAACTAAAAATTTTAAGCTATTAATATTTAAAACAGCTTCTTTGAACAACTTCGTGACTGATTTAGTATCTCATTAAAAAGTAAATACATAATAGATAAAAATAAATAAAAAAATCTATGTACTACTATACCAATACTCTATAAAATTATCGCATAAAATTTTTTTTCTATGCTAATGTCTATTCTCTGACTAGAATAAAAATAAATTGCTAAAGTTTTCCATACATAATTTGTCACATGTGATTGCTTTTGTTTCCCGTATGACCCAGAGACCAAGCCTTATTGAGGAAATATTTTGAGAAAAGTGTTAAATTCAGCTGTTTTTTTTTCCCTTAAATTTTTTATTAGATATTAAGACTAGGGGAAAAAATGCAAGATATTTAATAATTTTTTGAAATTGATGAATTGCAAATTTTTTAAAAATAAGAGATTACATAGAGAGGGAAAAAATGCAAGATATTTAATAATTTTTTGAAACTGATGAAGTGCAAATTTTTTAAAAATAAGAGATTACATTAAAGTGACATTGAACAGTTTTAAAAAAGATACTACTTATTGCATTTAGGACAACAAAATACAGAATTATGAAAAATACATTGCTTATAGACATTTTGAACGTAAAATATAATATAAAAACAGCTCTTTAAATTATTTAAACACTTTAAGCAATAAAAAAAAAGGAAATTGTTAATGGAATTTGATATATAACTAAAAGTAAACTGTAACAATGTAAGTCCATTATTAGGAAAATAATTTCAGATTTTTCAGGTCGAAATTGAAATAAAAATTTTAACAATTAACATACCACGTGAATTTTATTGAGAAAATCTCTTGAAAAACAAATGCAGACAAATTAGTTAACACATTTATGAGTACAGATACATTATATGTTTTTAATTAAGTAATACAAATTTATATACCTTCTAATTGGTGGGAAAGTTTCTTTTTTTCAAGGTCATCATCACTATCACTTCTGTTGCTGCCATTTATACTAAAAAATATTACTAAATTAAATCAAATTATTATACTTAAGATATAAGTGAGTTAACTATTTAGACAAAACAGTTTAACTAGTACCTACAATGCAACTGAAAAAGCATATTTTTGAAAGTTGCTTACTATTAGTAATTATTTCTGTGGAAAATATGCGTCATATCCAACAATTTAAATAATTCTATCCATAACTATTAGTATCATAGAAAATTGTACTTGTATGTACCGTAAAAAATATTACTTTATTTACAATTTGGCCCTTTCTGTTCAAAAACTACTGAAAGCATTATTTAAAAACTAAAATGAAATACATAGAAAATATGATGAATAAAGCAAAACTATTGTATTACTGTTTTATTTTTATTTCATACAAATGTAGCAGAGAAAATCTAAATTCATCTGAATCATAAAGGGACATCCTTATCATAGCTCAATTCTGATGGTAACTGATTTACATATTAAATATAAAATCTATTTGATTTATGCAGTCTTAATTAACTTCAATATAGAAATAAACATGATATTTCAAATACAATTAGTGTTATAGTTTGAACATAGCAATGATTCTTAAAGAAATCAAATTTTCAGTTTAAGAAGAAGTTTATTGTTTAGTAACTTATCAGCAGAAAACGAAAGAAAAAAAAGTAAGTAGATTTTATGAAAGAATAGGAAACTATTGCAAATGTCTGCACAATATATTTTTAATATTTCCTTTATAGGGAGATTTTTAGTAATTAATAAAGAGAAATAGTAATCAAATAATCTTGAATAGTTTTCTTTAGAAAGCATTATTAAGTTAAGTTCAATTTAGTTGTTGTCTGGCAATCAGTAGTGTAATTTGATTATTGAACTTACTTTTCAAATAAGTTTTTGTGGGTATTATTCTTATGTATTTGAATTGATTTTATATTTTTGTATTTGCTTTATGTATTTTATATTTTGTATTTTTTTCTCTTTCTGGACTTTGGCAAAAACTTTGGGGTACAGAGATAGAGCAATTTAGACATTTGTTGTGCTCGCTCGATAGAAAAGATTTTGCATTTATGGCTTCCGGAGCTGGTACCCCCTGAAGACTTCAGCTTCGGTTGTCATATTTATTCATTTTTCATTGTTTCAATATCTTTTGGATTTTCAGCTGCATAGCGCATTTTTCCACTGGAAGTATTGTTTTTAATTGCTTTAATTATTTTGAAGTCTTTTCTTAATATTATGAAGTTAGAAATTTGAAAATTCTCTGAAAAAAAGAATAGATACATAAATAAATAATTTTAAATTAAAATTTCTAGATTCTTCTTCTTTTTTAAAACTTAATACTGTAAATGAAACTATTTATAAATAGCCGCCTAAGGCGGCCAGCTGTCCGCCACGCTAAAGGTTTCCACAAATAAAGTTTTTTAAAACATAGCAGGAAATCTGAAGATTAGTGGACAATTAAAGTGTTCCTGTCGCTACAACGCTTAAGAAAAAAAAAAACTAAAATGCTAAATACATGAAAAGAACACGAAAACGAATAAATTTTTTATGGTATCAATTTCTATTTCTATATAATTTTTTATGGTATCAAATTCTATTTCTATATCTGTTACGTCAAGCACTCAGGTATTATAATTTGATCTAGTTGTGCTTGTATAATTTTGATCTAGTTGCGCTTTCTACGTCATTTTGTTAACATCGTTTGGTTTGTTATTTAACATCGTTTGGTTTGTTATTTCTAAGTTAACTTTCAAAAAATTGGCTGGCATCAGCATTTTTATTCTTTAAGTTGTTTATTTTTTCTTTTGGAATTCGTTCCTTTTTAGCGAAATGTTTTTCAACCTAATCGAATTCTTTGCCGACTGTTCTCTGTATATATAAAGAAAATAAAGTAAATATTTTTAAAGTGTTGTGAAAAGAATTTTTAGTTGTACAAAGTACTACAATATCGCTACAAAAATTATCGTCTTCGCTTTAAAAAAAAAAAATAGAGCGTGGAAAGAAGAAGAAAAACTTATTATAACAATTATGAACAGCGACAAATATATCAAAGCGAAGCGTTCTATTTACGTATCGAATATGTTGCCACATTTTTAATACAAAAGTTAAACTTTTCTCCACTTTAATAAATGTAAACTAATGCGAACTTTACAATTAAATTATTAATTCCTTCGTATATTATTGGTTTAAGTTGTCGAAAATTAATATTTCAATTGTAAGGTTCGCATTAGCATACATTTATAAGAGTGGGGAAAAGTATATGCATTTTTTAATAGTTTTTTGAATATGGCTCTTTGAAGACGAAAAAGCATAGATTTTCTTACAAAATGACTGATAACTAAAAAACTAATCCAAATTTTTGAAAAAGAAAAAAAATACTTCTTCATTATGTCAAAACACAATTATGTGCCGAGTTTCGTGCCTGGGCGAGGCTTCTGGGGCGATATATTGTGATTACAGACACACACACACAGCAGCGTTTATTATTATGTCTAGATTACTATTTACGTAAATTTTTAAACAAGCAATGAATTGAGTAAAAAGTATTTTTTCTTTTAGAGTATCTTCTAAAATATACTAAAAACATCAGAATTTTTATTAGACCAGAGAAATGGGAAAAAACTAGTAGAGATGGCAGATGTGTAATGTATTAAAACCAATAATTAGGTTCCATTTCATGTAATGGAGTAGCAAAAGCCCTCTTTGCAACGGAGAAAATTTTCAACTCAACAGTTTAACTAATTCTTTTTGTTAAATATTTTTTTGTTGTTGACAAAAACTAATAACATATTTATTAAATGATATCTAGTCTAGTGCAATACCTTTTAATATTTAGTAATATTTTAATTTATTGAACAATCTCAATTAACCATCAAATTTGAAGACACAACAAACCCAGATAACTGAATACTGAAAATATTTCACATAGCTGAATAATGTTATACGTGCAATTTTTCTTTACTAAAGTTTAACAGATTTTTATAGAAAATATAAGTTATTTCTTTTAATCAAATTGAAACAATCTTTTCTTACTTGTAATGGGACATAAAAACTAATACATGAACAAGAACTAAACTTTCTACAGTAAGAGTATTCTGATATATCACTTGCTGTCACTCAAGAGTTAATTGAACTATAACTACCATTATAAAAATTCAACAATCGCTTTTTGGAAGATTATAAGTGCAAATTGACTATTAAGTTATGATTAGCATAAACACATGGGAGGATAGATTTATTAAATTAAGATATCATAAAAGTTAAAAAGAAGCTTGCACTAGCACCTTGAGAAAATAAATAAGATATATAGGAGAGAAAATATATAGGCTTACGATGTAGCACCGTCCTCTCTGTCGTTAATACGCTTCTTTTGCTTGTCTTTCAAATATTTCTTTAACTTTTCTGCCCTCTCTAAGTACTGGACACACTTTGCTCGTATGCTCTCTTTAGCCTTATCACTCTGAGCTTCATCTGGAAAAAAATATTTCAGATTATTTTTTTAAACATGACAAATAAATATCAAAATAATGATGCAAATTTAACCAAACTTACAAATTTCAGATATTTTGGAACAGGCTTAGAATGTTTTTCTAGTATAAAAAGGGGTACTTTGGAACAGGCTTAGTATAAAAGGTGATTGTTTAGGAAGATACTAAGAAAATGTTAAATTTGGTGTTAAGATAAATTTAAAAAAATTAGAACATATTTGAAATAGAATTGAAGTACTTTTGTATATACATGTCTGTTTTAGAGAAGAGTGAACAAAATTAAATGGCTAAGAGAAGTATGATAAACTGGTATTCTAAACTAAGAGTTTAAAAAAAAATGGTATTTATTCAAAATAATTAAAAAAATAAAATCAGTGTTTTTCCTAAGTGTTTTAAGAAGGGTGAGTCACCCTGCCCTCCCTCTTTTTCTTTTAAAAAATTATGCTCTTTTTCCAGAAGCAGATTTATTGCAGTAGTAGAAATGAGGAACTTCTGATAACCCTAACTACTGCAAATTATTTTTAGGCTAAGTCAATATGCATAAAATATTTCTTATATTTATTTGTATTCCGTTTCGAAGGACATTAATGAAGCTATTGCTCTTCAAAAGGAGTGCAAAATTCGTGCTCTTAAAAATTGAAGATGCTCTTGTTTTTTAAAAAGCACCTTGCTCTTTTTTTATTTTTAGGGAGATCTTTGTAAAATCAAACGATATCTGCAATAAGTATAAAAGTAAAAAGAGTTGGAAAACAATAATAATAAAAGCAAAGGGTTCTAGAGCTACAAGCAGACTTTAAAATGAAGAACTTTCTGTGAACACAAAATCTCAATTAAAAAAAACTTTCTGCAAGCAACTATAATTACTCTTAAATAATACAACACTCTTGAAACTAGTTCTAATCCTTATGCAGGCTCCTACTTCTGTAAAATTTGCTTGAAAATCATCGTTACTTTCAAAAATGTTTTAATTTATAAAAACTTTATATTGATTATTAAAAATAGCAGTATGCCTGAACAAATGCAATGACGTGCGGCTGTGTACAGAAGTACAGAAAGAAATTTGCATATGTATAACTGCAATATTGATCCGTGAGTTAAGATTGGGCAATTTTGAATGTCCTTAGTAACGCTAAAAGATTTTCTATGATGTATAAAAATATTGACTACAGTGTAAAATAGGAGAATTTAGACCGTTTTTTGTTCATAATGAGGAACACTAAATGCTCGTGTGTATTATGTATATATATCTGATTATAAGATCCCCAGAGAAAGGTAAATTCTCCTCAAAGGATCTATTTTACAGCAGATTGAAGCAGACAGAGTGAGTGAACCACTGTAAT